AGTCATTCTAGACAGTTATTCTTTGGTGAAAATAGAAATAGAACAGGTGTTTTTAAGACCCGTTTTTCAGCGTTCAAGCTTGAGGCAGCCATCCACTATGGATCAACAAAAGGTCCATCAGTCTGTTTAGCTGACCTGCCGTTCTCAGGTAGCAGTTGGAAGGGGTGCTTCTTGTTTTCAAGGTTTTCTTTTTGTTTCTTTAATTTTCATACTAGGGGAAGTAGTCATAATTTACCATTTGGGTCTGATGGACCATTTTTACAAATTTTTTGTATTTTTAAGTCATTTTACATATAAATTTACAGAAGTAAGAATAAAAGGGTGGTGAAGATCAGCATTATTAGATATTTTAATAAGCATTTAAACATAGGGTTTAAGACAGTGGGTCTTCCCTGGTGGCTGTAGTTATAAAGAACCTGCCTGCCAATGCCGGAGACTTAAAGAGACTTGGGTTTGATCCCTGGGTCGGGAAGATCCTCTGAAGGAGGGCATGGCAACCCACTCCAGTATTCTTGCCTGGAGAATCCCTTGGACAGAGGAGCCTGGCAGGCTACAGTCCATAGGGTCAGAGAGAGTCAGATGTGACTGAAGTGACTTAGCACACACATACCTAAAATGAGCAAAGTTTTCTGTGTATCATCAGCTATCGTGTATAAACCCAGAACATACACATCTTGTAATAAATACTGATACCACATTTAAAGTCTGTCTCTGTAAGTTCTAGTTTATCTTCTGTTTCATCTTACCCTGGAATTCTCAGAATGCATCAATGCATTTAGGTTAGAATGCAGTTGACACTTGAACAACATGGGTTTGATCTGCATGAGTCCATTTAAACTCAGATCCTACACCCCTGCCCCCCCCCCCACACACACCCACTCCACTGCTGCCCACCCTCCCCCCAACATCTTATGTGATCTTAGTTCCCTGACCAGAGATTGAACTCCCTGGGCCCTTGGCACTGAAAGTGTAAAGTCCTAACTACTGGACCATCAGGGAATTCCCACTCAGATTGTTTTCATATTTTCATAGAAAATATGGTAGTACTACATGATCAGCGGTTGGTTGAGTTTGCAGATGTGGAACTATATATAGAGGGGTGGCTATGTTAACACTTGATTTTCAATCCCATAGAGGATGAATGAGCCCCTAACCCTTTTGTTGTTCAAGGGTCAGTTGTATTTTGGAATTTTTGATGGCTTCTGATTTTATTGACTAGAGCTCGGGGGTCCCCAACCTCTGCGATTTAATGCCTGGTAATCTGAGGTGGAGTTGATGTAATAATAATGAAGTGCACAATAAATGTAATGCACTTGAATCATCCAAAACCTTTCCCCTTACCCCCAGTCCGTGGAAAAATTGTCTTCCATGAGACCCATCCCTGGTGCCCAAAGGTTGGGGATCACTGGAATTGAGTATTGCCATTTTTAAAAATTATTTATTTATTTTTTGATTGTGCTGGGTCTTCATTGCTGCTTGGGCTTTTCTCTAGTTGTGGTGCATGGGCTTCTCATTGCGGTGGCTTCTCTCATTGTGGAGCACAGGCTCTAGGCACACAGGCCTCAGCAGTTGCAGTACGTGTGCTCAGTAGTTGAAAGACGTGGGCTTAGTTGCTCCAAGGTATGTGGGGTATCTTCCCAGACCAGGGATCAAACCCATGTCTCCTGCATTGTCAGGCAGATTCTTTACTGCTGAGCAACCAGAGAATCCTGAGTATTATCATCTTTGTGCTATAATTACACCACTTCATATAACCAATTGGATTGACTAATCCATTGCATTTTGTGCATTTATCATCTTTTCCTTTCTAGTCAAAGAAGATATCAAAGTATTGAATATTTAGGATACAGGAAAAATAAGGTTCCTGGACTCTACCTTAGATTTATGTAAGGGTTCACTGGATACATACAATAACTGCAATGAGTTTTATTCCATTCTAAGAGAAGGTAAAGTGTCTTATTTTTTTGGAAGATCTGTTAGAAGGGACTTCCTCGGTGGTGCTAGTAGTAGAAAAAAATCTGCCTGCAATGCAGGAGACCTGGATTCAATCCCTGGGTTGGGAAGATCCCCTAGAGAAGAAAATTTTCTTGCCTGGAGAATTCCGTGAGAGGAGCTTGGCAGGCTACAGACCATGGAGTCATAAAGAGTCAGACACAACTCGACTAACACTTTGACTTTCATTTTTCCCCTGAATACATATAGTAACTGCAGTGAGTTTTATTCTATTCTAAAAAAAGGTGAAGTGTCTTTTATCTTCTTGCAAGATCTGTAAGAAAGGATAGTCATGAAATGTATATGAGAAATGCAAAAGCTAAAATTGAGTTCACTGAAGCTTTGTGGTAAATGTGCTTTTTTCCCCCCTCATAACTTTTCTCTAACCATGGTATACATTAAAGTTGAACATGAAATTTTGGCTTATTTATTTTTAGTTCCAGTAATTCCACCACTTCCAAGGTTACTTTCACATCATCTTGATAGAAGCTTCAGACTTTTCCAAAACTATTTGCCTATCAGTAGTTGTTTGCATTATTTCACAAATGGCTGTTAACATGTATTGATGGGTAGATATCTCCACCCACCTGTGTAGGGACAGCCTTAGTTTAGTCAATATTTTGTAGGTGTGTATTGGTCATCTTTTCCCAGCCTTCCCTTCCCCACCTCATTTTCCATGTATTGAAAATATATCAAGCAGCTGTGTCATAAGAAACAGCTCTAATCCTCAATGGAAACTTTTCTAATCTATTATATTTTGAAACACTTGATAATTGTAGAGTATATAAGATAGCAGGGTTTTTTCTTTTTTTTGGATAGGTGGTTTTGTAAGATAACTTACTCTGCTAGATGGACTAAATAATGTTTTTGTTGTTAGCTAGACCTTGGTGGCTCAGATGGTAAAGAATCTGCGATGCAGGAGAGCTGGGTTGGAAAGATCCCCTGGAGGAGGGCTGGGCAACCCACTGTAATATTCTTGCCTGGAGAATCTCCATAAAGGGAGGAGCCTGATGTTCTACAGTTCATGGGGTCACACAGAGTCAGACACAACCGAGTGACTAATCATAGACTTTAGTACTTCTAAGTTCTTTAGCAAAGGATTTAAATGTGATACCTTGAAGGAATTTTAAAATAGGGTTTATCACTTTCTAAAAACAATTCTTAATTTCAGCGTTTTATCAACACTGATACCAAATTTAAAATACATCTTATTAAAGTTCTAGCTTATCCTCACTTCTGATACGTAAATCATCAGAATGCCATGCTCAGAGATGAACAGTGTTGACAGAAGCTTAAAGATGTGTGCTTTACACTATGTGAAACTGCCTTGTAAGAAACATTTCTTTATAATAGTACTTATTTATGTTTATTAGACACATAAACTTGGGGCTTCCCTGGTGGCTCAGATGGTTAAGTTTTCTGCCTGCAATACAGGAGACCTGGATATAATCCTTGGGTTGGGAAGATCCCCTGGAAAAGGGAACGGCTACCCACTCCAGTATTCTTGCCTGGAGAATTCTGTGGACAGAGGAGCCTGTTGGACTGAAGTCCATGGTGTCACAAAGAGTTGGATGCAACTTTCACTAGAGTTGGACTGACACTTTCACTAGACTAGACTTTCATGAATTTGAAGTTCAATTTTCAGGGCACCAAATTGCCCAAACAGGTTCAATTCTGTTTTTCAGTAGTAAAATTTAAGCATATACGTTGTTGTTCAGTCACCAAGTTGTGCGACCCCATGGGTTGCAGCATGCCAGGCTTCCCTGTCCCTTACCATCTCCCAGAGTTTGCTTAAACTCATGTCCACTGAATCAGTGATGCCATCCAATCATCTCATCCTCTGTCGCCTTCTCCTCCTGCCTTCAATCTTGCCGAGTATCAGGGTCTTTTCCAATAAGCTGGCTCTTTGCATCAGGTGGCCAAAGTATTGGAACTTCAGCATCAGTCTTTCCAGTGAGTATTCAGGTCTGGTTTCCTTTAAGATTGACTGGTTTGATCTCTTTGCTGTCCAAGGGACTCTCAGGAACATCTCCAACACCACAGTTTGAAAGTATCAGTTCTTCAGTGCTCAGCCTTCGGTCCAGCTCTCCCATTCATAGATGACGACTGTAAAAACCATGGCCTTGACTATATGGACCTTTGTCAGCAAAGTAATGTGTCTGCTTTTATAATATGCTGTCTAGATTTGTCATAGCTTTCCTACCAAGACTTAATTGTCTTGTAATTTCATGGCTACAGTCACCATCTGCAGTGATTTTAGAGCCCAAGAAGAGGAAATCTGTCACTGCTTCCCCCTTTCCCCTTCTTGCCAGGAAGCGATGGGACTGGATACCTTGACTTAGTTTCTTTAATATTGAATTTTAAGCTGCCCTTTTCACTCTCCTCTTTCACCCTCATCAAGAGGCTCTTCAGTTCCTCTTTGCTTTCTCTCATTAAAGTGGTATCATCTGCATATCTGAGGTTGTTGATATTTCTCCTGGCAATCTTGATTTCAGCTTGTAATTCATCCAGCCTGGCATTTTGCATGATGTGCTCTCATATAAGTTAAACAAACAGGGTGACAATAAACAGCCTTGTTGTACTCCTTTCCCAGTTTTGAACCAGTCAGTTCCATATAAGGTTCTACCTGTTGCTTCTTGACCTATGTACAGGTTTTTCAGGAGACAGGTAAGATGGTGTTCTGTTCCCATCTTTTTAAGCGTTTTCCACAGTTTGTTATGATCCATGCAGTCAAAGGCTTTAGCATAGTCAATGAAACAGGTGGATGTTTTTCTGGAATTCCCTTGCTTCCTCTGTGATCCAGTGAATGTTGGCAATTTGATCTCTGATTCCTCTGCCTTATGCATATATAGTTCTTATTACATTACACTTATGCAGCAGTTTCATCTTGTTCACAGTAACATTTTTTGATTCTTGAATTTAACATAATTTTGCACTTAATAAAAAGTCATTATTTACAGTGTTAATCTTTTGGGATAAATGAATAAGGGCACTTTTTTTTCCATCAGGTATATTCAAGAGCAAATGATCAAGAACCATGTGGATGGTGGTTAGCTAAAGTTCGAATGATGAAAGGAGAAGTAAGTGATGTTAAAACTTGCTTTGTGATTAATTTTCAAGGAAATATGTTGACTCCTGGTTTCTGTAACTGTTACTCCAACTCTTAGTTTTGTTGTTAAAAAGCCTATTTCAGAAATAATCATGTATTTTAAAAATTCATCAGATCATTAATTTCTGTTTCTGTTCTGGATTTGCAAACACCAAAGCTGCTCTCCAGAGGTATTCTGCAAGCATGTGAGGACCACCAGAGTTCTTGCTTTTAAGAACCTCTAATCTAGTTTAGGCAAATCAGGTTGCTATAACTAAGCTGTGCTTAGTATTTGTGCCACAAGGGGAGGGTCTACTGCTTAAGCCAAGCAAAGTAATTAGAACTTCATTTAAAGCTCATTATTTTTGTTCGGATGGGATTTTTAAAGTGTTTTGATGTCTTTTAGTTTTATGTCATTGAATATGCTGCTTGTGATGCCACTTACAATGAAATAGTCACATTTGAACGACTTCGACCTGTCAATCAAAATAAAACTGTCAAAAAAAATACCTTCTTTAAATGCACAGTGGATGTTCCTGAGGATTTGAGAGAGGCGTGAGTAATTTTGTTTACTGTTGAATTGCTTTGTGAATTAAGAGGATTTTTCAGGGCTACAAAAATCTTTTTTACCCCAAACCCCCGATTAAAACTTTGATGGAAATGTTTTTTACAGACAAAAGTTTTCAATGGGTGGTGTCAGTATGAAATACAAGAGTTTTCATTATAATTGCTCTCTAAATTTAACCTGTTGTTTCGGTCTTACATGTGAATTACTCTCTCCTTAGGTGTGCTAATGAAAATGCACATAAAGATTTTAAGAAAGCGGTAGGAGCATGCAGAATTTTTTACCATCCGGAAACAACACAGCTAATGATACTGGTAAGATAACTCCATATTTTAAGGTATATAGTGGATATTGTGAATCTGCCTACAATGCAGGAGACCCAGATTTAATCCCTGGGTGAGGAAGATCCCCTGGAGAAGGGAATGGCAACCCACTCCAGTATTCTTGCCTGGAGAATTCCATGGACAGAGGCACCTGGCAGGCTACAGTCTATGGGGTTTGCAAAGAATCAGACAGGACTGAGTGACTAACATTTTTCACTTTATTAAACTGTACATTGCACATATTTTATAATTAAATATTTCGAAGATAAAAGATAACTTGTTTTATGGTGACTTTATTAAAATACAATATGGGGGAAAATTTTTTTGCAGTTATAAAATTGTTAATTTGTAAATCTTTCCTGGAGAAAGGAGGAAAAATCTTAATACAGCATTCTTTACCTCACAAAATTCTTAATGTATGGGATCCTGGATTCTATATCCCTCCTCCCCCCATTATAATTTGAAGAGCAAATCTAAGTAATATGGAAATTAAGAAAGCAAGTAAGATTACTTGTGGGAGGAGGTGCATGTTAGGTGAGGAGAGTACAGTAGATGAAAATCAAGGGAGGCTTTATTTGGAAGTTTGTGTTTGTATTATCTTAGAAAAAGGGTTTAAGTTTTTGAATGAGTAACTTGTTTGTTTATAGTCTGCCAGTGAAGCAACTGTGAAGAGAGTAAATATTTTGAGTGACATGCATTTGCGAAGTATTCGTACAAAATTGATGCTTATGTCCAGAAATGAAGAGGCCACTAAGCATTTGGAAGTAAGTGGGTTTACATGTAAAAGGTTTTTTGTGCTTCTCATTTAGTTTCGTGAGTATATTATTCAAGTTCTATGGCTGAAGCTATTTGATTGTTAGGTAAGGCAGCTTGGGAACTCTTTTATGGCTAATAATTGGAATTATTGTGTCCTTAGAGTTACTTTTCTCTATTACTTTTATCAAACATATGCTAAATAACTGAATGGTGCCAAAGAGCTTAGAAACTCACTAGGGATTTCCAATAGAATAAAGCTAGTTCTTTACTCTGTTTTTTACTTCTGTTTTTTTTCACTCTCTGAGCTATCAGTCAATGCACTTTCTCAGTAACTAGTTCATTAGTATAACAACTCTTGGGTAAGAAGAGAGGAGGTCACATGGCTTGTAGTTTTAAAAAAGAGCCTGTCATTGCTTCTCTGTATTCTGTCCTGAGGTACTCCTGTTTTCTTCTCCTTTTCACTGCCACATTATTAGGTGATTTGTTGCCCCTACTCCCTCCCACACATATGTGTGCTCCTGCCCGCTGTCTTAGGGAAATTGAGGTTTGTTTATCTTTAAAACAAGTACATGAGTGCCCTTAACTTATTTCAAACTTCCAAACAAGTGATACGTGAATGAGTTTTGAAATAGGAATCATTTGAGTTGGAGAGCTCCCTGTGTGAGTAATTCTGGAAAATTGTTTTAAAATTACTGTTTTCTGTGACCATGATTAAATAGAATGATCAGACTTCCCCCTTCCATTACATGACCAAGTGAACTACCTTTTTTCTTTTTTTTTCCTTTTTTTAAATTGTGGTAGAATAAACATAATATTACCATCCTAACCACTTTTAAGTGTGCAGTTCATAGTATTGGGAAATATATTCACACTGTTGAACAATCAATCTTCAGAACCTTTTCATCTTGCAAAACTGAATCTCTGTGTCCATTTAAACAACTTCCTATTTCCCTTTCCCCCAGCTCCAGGCCACCACCATTCTACTTTGTTTTTACAAATTTGATTACTCTAGATAACCTTGTTGTAAGTGGAATCATATAGTGTTTGTCTTTTTGTGACTATCTTATTTCACTAAGCATAATGTTCTCAGTGTTTGTCCATATTGTAGCATGTATCAGAATTTCCTTTTTAAGGCTGAATAATTCTGATTGTGTGCATATATTACATTTTGTTTATTCATCATTCAGTGGACCTTTGGGTTGCTTCCTCCTCTTGACTATTGTAAATAATGCTGTGAACATGGGTGTACAAAAATTTTTTTTTATCTTTTATAATACTAATTTGCCTCTTTTACTAGTGCACAAAGCAACTTGCAGCAGCTTTTCATGAGGAATTTGTTGTGAGAGAAGATTTGATGGGCCTGGCGATAGGAACACACGGTAGTAACATACAGCAAGCTAGAAAGGTTCCTGGAGTTACAGCTATTGAGCTAGATGAAGATACTGGAACATTTAGAATCTACGGAGAGGTATGCTGCTTGTCTCCCACCTTGGGTAATTTTACTAGAGCATATTAACTGTTGTGTGGAATTTTAGTTTCTGGATGGAATGGTTTAGAATTGCAAGTCTAGTATCATTACATGTAGGTTGATTAAAGATACTATATTAGTATATAAAATTTATTATAATATGCTAATATATGTAATTATGGGGCCTTGAAGGATTACTGGATATTTAATGTGTACTGTTTTCAAAAGTTCCTTAATCAGCTGCTTCTGAACTTCTCAGCTTTATGTGCATTACAAATAATTTATTCAAGTATTTTTTGAGTGCTTATTATGTCAAGCACTGGCAGCTGTAAATAGTATATAATACGTTTTGTAGACCTTGAATTTTAAATATTTTGTCACTGGTTAATTGTGACATCTGTGTGGGCAGGAAGATAATCTGAAAAAATAAAACAGGTCTTCATTAAGACTATCCTTCACATTAGAGTAAATAGATGAGTTTTTGGGTGTGATGATTTTAAGTCTCAACTTTTCATTTAAGTCATATAGTAAATCTGACTGGAGGTCTGATTTTTACTTCTGAAACCTTTAGAAGTAGGCAGTATACCAAAGTGGTTAAGATGAAAGGCTTTAGAGTCATATTACCTGAATTAGAATTTTGTCTCTGCCACTTTGAGAAGACTTGGAGAAAGTTACACAGTTCCCCTGCATAATTTTCCACATTGTAAAATGAAAATAATAGTGCTTACCATAACAGTTTATGAAGATTGAATATGGATTTTAAATTTTTGCTGTGTATGATATAGTGAGCACACAATATGCTTGATTTATGGTTATTAAAGGACAAACATTAAAAATGGAAGTTAATTGTTACTGAGAACTCTAAATTCCTTTTAGAGAAGACAACCTGAGCCTCCCTCCATCTTCTAGTTTTTTAAAATTTTAACTGTTAGAGCTTAGGGATTTTAATGGTCATATTAGTAGGTAATTTTTTAAATGCATCTCTACAAAAACAGCCTTTTAAATCGTTTCTTATGTTGAGAAGGAGAAAACAATGCAGACAACGCATACAGTATGTCTTTTTTTTTTTTTTTTTAAATTCACCTGGAGAATCCAACCATAGAAGTGTGGGTCAGATGTATTTAGGATGGGGTTAAAATTTCGCTAACATAAGTAAGTTAAACTCGTAGTTTTCGCAAGAGCTTAAAGATGTCTGTTTAGACAGTTTTAGATGTCTTAGGGACCTTAGAGATGTCTAACATTTTGATCCCCTAGCTCTTTAATGATTACTCTTCTTTTGGAAAAGTACTTTATGAATACTTGACTTGAAATAGCACTTTGGTCATCTGAGCAGAATCTTGTACTGGAGCATGACAATTCAGTTTCTTTTTTCCTTCTTGTGTTTTTGTTGTGGATAGTGGGTTTCTTCAAGATTGAATTTCATGTTTGTTCCCCCACCCTACCCCGCAGAGTGCTGATGCTGTAAAAAAGGCTAGAGGTTTCTTGGAATTTGTGGAGGATTTTATTCAGGTTCCTAGGAATCTTGTTGGTAAGTACTTCTACTAAATGTTAAGTTAAATATTATTTAATTACATATGATGACAATTGAAAATTAGCCTTTTCTGATAACTTTTACCTTCTAAGTAATGTAGAATTTTTAAAAAAATAACAGTTTGGCATTACAGTTTTTCTTAAGCTTTTTCATCCCTTGGCTTCTTTCTTAATATTTTCATTTGCTTGATGTCTTTTTATCTTTCATATATCCATCCAAATTGTAGTACTTTTTTGAGAAGGTATTTGTGGTAATTGTTTTGTTTGGTGCAGAAGAAAAAGTTTGAGTGGACTAGCAATAGGGTAATAAACTTCTACACAGTAGGCTTTGAGAAAGTGATAGTTGTTGCAAAAACCTCAAATAAGATAAGAAGTCATAAGTCATGGGCAGAAGAGAAGGATGGTGATGATATTAGGGGAGGTTTCACTGTTAAGTTTTTGACACTTTTGATGAAGATTGCTGTGCCCGTGAGTTGTAAGTTAAGTGACAACAGGTTTTGCTTTTGAAGCTGCAGTTAATGAGCATTATAACTTGAGAGATCAGTTGTTTAATAGCTTTGTTAATAATATTCTCTGTATCTGTGTGATCTATCCTTTAAGATGCAATCTGAAACATAGGAGAGAAATCTTGGTCACTTGTTAAATTATGCTTAGTGATTATCTTAAATGTTTAAGCATCAACATAAAGTAGTGAAATTTCCTAGGGAAATGATTTTTTTATGACTTTTTTTGGTTATCTGTTGAGTCTTGTTAGTTTTTTGACCATAATGAAATTGAGCCCCTTGGGCTCTATTTATATATAAGTAAGGGCTTCCCTGGTGGCGCAGATGGTAAAGCATCTGCCTGCAATGCGGGAGACCTGGGTTTGATCCCTGGGTCGGGAAGATCCCCTGGAGAAGGAAATGGCAACCCACTCCAGTATTCTTGCCTGGAGAATCCCATAGACAGAGGAGCCTGGTAGGCTACAGTCCATGGGATCGCAAAGAGTCGGACACAACTGAGCAAGTTCACTCACAGCTTTTCTACCTTTAGGAAAAGATTCTGTACACATTTTACTTGTCAGAGTCTGAAACATTAATAGGTGAAAATTAAAAAACAACAGCACATTTGTGCTATTAAAAATATGTTTGTTTTGGCCAATAACAAGTAGTGTATTTGGTACAATAGTGTACACTACAAGAATTTGGGCAGTCTATTGGTATTCAACTGTAGAAAAAGCTTGTCACTTCTGCTTAAACATTTGGATGTCTATGATATACTACCAGTTAGTTTAGCTCCACTTAATCTGTTGTTAGCAATCACTGTGCACTGAGTGGCTGGAGATGATGAGAGGTTAAAATTAAATATAAGTCTTTTTTTTTTTTTCCATTTATTTTTATTAGTTGGAGGCTAATTACTTTACATCATTGCAGTGGTTTTTGTCATACATTGAAATGAATTAGCCATGGATTTACATGTATTCCCCATCCTGGTCCCCCTAAATATAAGTCTTATGAATTTTATATAATTTAAATAAATGGTAAGATACAAAATGTTACCAAATATTCATTGCTGTCAAGAGGGGACATGACCTTTGGCAAGAATGATGCTTTTGAAAATGATTCCCTTTATTGTTTATATAATGCTTCCATTATTGACAGCTATCAGTACTAACATTTTGGTTGCTACTTTCACAGAATGTAATTTAACTTAGATTTCTTCACTTGTAAAAATGATTTGGAGGTGAGTGTGTCCAAGGGTTCTTTCCAATCCAACAGTTCTGTAGAAGATAGCATTGGTCTTACAGAATTTGTGGTAGTGTTAATTTTAAATAAAAATTTCTCATATTTGAAAAATAGGAAATTGGATATATTTATAATTCTCAGATTCTTCTCTTTGTTTATCTGTTCAGTGATGTGAGAACCTAACATGTCTCTTGTTTTCCTCTACCCTGGCTTGGTTGGCTTTGTTTATTTGGGTTATTTGTTTACTATTTAGAAAATAAATACTAGCAGCAACTATTATACATTGGTTAAATACTCAGAAGTAGTATAAAAACCTGAGTTGAGTGCTGTCTATTTATAGTAGTACTACATCTTTCTCTAAAATGTTTTCTGGGTGAAGCAGTCTTTTGAAAAATAGTACATTTTTAGTCAAAGGGAAAGAGAAAAAGAGGACTGAGAAGTAAAAGGAAATGAGGACTACTTGGTGGGTAAGTTTCAGAGAGAATTCTCACATATATTCAGGTTCCAAGAGTTCTAGAATTGTTGACCATTCCCACCCCTCCCAAATCAAAAGTATTATGTGAACATTGATTTGAAAATGAGTTGAAACGTCACCTCCTGGAAGCCTTCCTTAATCACTTCTCTACTCTGTCCCTTCAGCATTTATGCTCAGTGCTCAAATTATACCACAGGTCTGCTTCAGTTTGTCAATATGCTTTGGAATTTAAACTGTGGAAATGATCAGTTAAAATATTGACGGTCTCTGGTGGGACTAAATAAAACTTGCAGGTAGGTCCTTGCCACAGACCCCAGAAGGGTGATGGATATTCACTCACCACTGGTATAGTTCACAAGAAGTAAGGGGCAGAGATTTTGGGGAGGGGGTATGATGTAACAATCTGATTTTTGTTTTTTCGAAAAGATATTTGCTTATTTTTAGCAGGGTCAAGGATGGAGTTGCTGCTTGAGCTTCACTGTGTTAACATGAAGGTTGCTTTTATATGCTGCTGCTAGGGCTGCTCTGAGAAGACATGCATCATGTGAATTCCCTGTCCTCTATTTTGTTTTTTCTCTTGTTCGGTTGCTGCTACCTTTAAATTTAGGGTTATTGGGCAAGGAGGTTTGAAAATCCTATAATAGTGTCTGTTGTACTGACTGGCTTACTGTTGCCATTATTCCTTTGTTTGTCCCCCTTCCCCCTTATTTATTCTTTATTGAAAGCTGTTCTGTCAAGCATGCAGTAGCTGAAACCTACATTATAACCTATTTTAGCCAAAATTAATTTATTGTGGAAACATTGTGCTGATATAGTGTAACATTTTAACTGAGGATTTGAACTTAATAACAAGTAAGATGTTACTGTTAACTTAGTATACATCTATTTATAGTAATGGTTACCTGAACATTTACTTCTGTTACCAGCTCACTACCCACTATTGCTTTATTTTATGGGTGTATATTAGCTATATAAAAAGTGAGTTCCCTAAGTGAAGAGCATCTTCATATCCTCCTTTTAGTTTCTCCACTAATTGTCAGATCCTTAGTAACTGTTATTTGACAGACTTAACAAGTTAAGTGTGGAGAAGGTAAATAATTTGAATTCTGTGTCATTTCACAATATTTCATATCTAGGAAGACAGCAACCCATATACATTTTGTATGTAGTTGTATTGTTCTAAAGTACTTTAAAAACGTATAGGTGTAAAATGTAATACTTGTTAAATGTGAACATTTTATTTCAGTGAAGAGAATATTCATTTTAAAAGAATCTTCAAGTCACAGTTGTTTTTAAAGTAGGACCTTGAAAATAAAAGCCAGGTTAATGATATTGTTAGTTGTTTGAATACTAATAAGTATATACTGTGTCATAAATGTAAACAAATTGGTGTAATTAATACCAAAATAAAAGTTTTCTTTTTGCCTTCATGTATATAATTCAAGCTTTTGGAATAAATGGGTTGGACTTGATATTTTAAAAATATAAAAATGGTATAGAACATATTAAAAAATAGTTGGACTTTGAAAATATCTTACATGTGAGTAGAGTTATCATTCTCAGTTAATAGTAGCAACGTTAGCCATACTGAAGAGGAGGAGGTTTTATACCAAGGATATGTTTCTCAGTTGTCGTTAGGGTGAGTTAATTGAGAGTAAAAAGATATAGTTTTGCTTGGTTTTTATAATTTGATAGCAAGTCATAAATTATTTGGGCTCATGTTGAAATGATAGCAGTGTTGGTTTTTAATTTATTATTATATATGTTTTCTCTTATTAAAGGAAAAGTAATTGGGAAAAATGGCAAAGTTATTCAAGAAATAGTAGACAAATCTGGTGTGGTTCGGGTGAGAATTGAAGGAGACAATGAAAATAAACTACCTAGAGAAGATGTAAGTATTTAAAACATAGTCTGCATATGCTCACCCCACCACCCAGTCTTTTATATTTTGAAAATTGTTTTAAGAAAGTTACATCCAGTGAACTACTCTCACTCTGCAGTGGAATTTTTTTTTAAGTTCTGTTTCTCAGTGCTTCAGTAAAAAGGCCAATTTTGATTAAAAAAAAAGACATTAGTTTGATAATCTTATTGGTTCTTTTTTTTTTTGTGCTTAGAGTGTAAAGAATTTGGTACTCTAAACAAAACAGTTGGCTGTGAAGGAATTCTTAATAACACTTCTTTGACTTTTTTTTTTTTTTTTGTAAGCTCTGACCATTTCTTAATTGAAATCTTTAAGCTTTAACATTGCTAGTCATTCTGATGCCATTGGAGTAGAAAATGGCAACCCCCTCTGATATTCTTGCCTAGAGACTCTGGTGGACAGAGAAGCCTGGTGGGCTGCTGTCCATAGGGTCACACAGAGTCAGACGCGACTAAAGTGACTTAGCATACATGCGTGCATTGGAGAAGGAAATGGCAACCCACTCCAGTATTCTTGCCTGGAGAATCCCAGGGACAGAGGAGTTGGGTGGGCTGCTGTCTATGCGGTCACAGAGTCGGACACGACTGAAGTGGCTTAGCAGCAGCAGCTGATGCCAACTTTATGAAAATTTTTTTTCCATCTTTTTGTTACATGTTAATGTCTTGTTCACAGTACTTTTTTTTTTAAACTTCTTATCCACCACTTTAAGCATCACTAACTTTTGTGGCTCTGATGGTCAACTCTATATAGTTATATGTCTGAATATAAGGCAAAGACTTCCCCCTCCCCCACTCCCAAAATTATCTCCCAGAAAGCAGTACATTCACAACTTCTTCAGTTTTGCACAGTGGGTAAATGGGGAGTTTGCTTGCTTATTGGACAAAGTAAGTTTTGTTTTTTTAAAAAAAAAAACACATGGAGGAAACTGAAGATATTTTATATTTTCTAAGATAAACAGCCTCACACCACATATTGGATATTGTAAAGACCCCAGTGAAAGATACCATTTCCTTGATTCTTTTAATTAGTTAGGATGTGGTGATAAAAACGAATGAGGAAAAACAAATGACTGTTAGGCAAATGGATACTTAGAGATTGATTACATCCTACACAGCTTTAAAAATTGATGCAAACCTTAAGTAATTTTAACTTCACGTTAAGTAAACACCATACTCCACCTGGAAGGTGGGTGATGACCCCATTAAAATCAAGGGTGTCATACTATTTTAATTGACACTATCTCTGTTTATATACTTAATGTATAAAATAACGGTGACCCATTAGGCATACCAGGCTTCCCTGGTGATTCAGTCGTAAAGAACCTGCCTGCCAGTGCAGGATATGCAGGTTTTGATCCCTGGGTTGGGAAGAGCCCCAGAGGAGGAAATGACAACCAACTCCAGTAGTTTTGCCTTGGAAATCCTACGGACAGAGGAGAGCCTGGTGGACTACAGCCCATGGGGTTGCAGAACAGTTGGACATGACTTCACAACTAAGCAACAATAGCAGTTTGGCTTATAACTGCTGGCTAGAATTGGTCTGAAGATTAAGGTGTTTACTGGACAGGGTCTTTAAAAGACTCAATTGTAAATATCTTAGCTTGATAACTAATATCTAGTCTTCCCTTAGCTTGACTTATTCCTAGCTGCTTTCCAGTATTTACCACCTTGTTGCAAGCTGTTTCTTTTAGGATGTCCTTCATAAATTATTACACTTTACTTTGTAGTTTTGGCCATTTTTACCTCACATTTCTGTGCCAGAATTTCTGTAACAGAAATTTAAATGCTAAAAGATACCAAGTAGATTATGTAAATTATCAAACAGATTAGGATACAAAAGAGAGGAAGGGGAGGGCACACTGTGCCTTTCTCTAAAAGAAACCAATGCTGCTCAGTTTTAATCTGGTTGCTGTGTAGGTATGCGTGTATTCTGTTCTGCTCTATCTTTTAATATTTAAAGAAAAGCTAAAAGCCTAAATAAACAAAACTTTTTAGTTTTCAAAGCATTGAACATGAAAACAAATCTGAAGGTTTTACGGGCTTATGTGGGGTCAGTTCGACTAGTTGTGTCTGACTCTTTGCGACCCCATGGACTGCAGCATGCCAGGCTTCCCTGTCCATCGCCGACTCCAGAGTCCTCACAGACCCATGTCCATTGAGTCGGTGATGCCATCCAACCTTCTCATCCTCTGTTCCTCCCCTTCTCCTGCCTTCAATCTTTCCAGGCATCAGGATCTTTTCTAGTGAATCGGCTCTTCACATCAGGTGGCCTAAGTATTGGAGTTCAGCTTCAGCATCAGTCCTTCCAATGAATATTCAGGACTGACTTCCTTTAGGATGGACTAGCTGGATCTCCTTGGTCCAAGGGACTCTCAAGAGTCTTATCCATGTAAATCCATGGCTAATTCATATCAATGTATAACAAAAANTAGCATATTAAAAAGCAGAGACATTACTTTGTCAACAAAGGTCCGTCTAGTCAAGGCTATGGTTTTTCCAGTGGTCATGTATGGATGTGAGAGTTGGACTATAAAGAAAGATGAACACCGAAGAATTCTTGCTTTTGAACTGTGGTATTGGAGAAGACTCTTGAGAGTCCCTTGGACTGCAAGGAGATCCAACCAGTCCATCCTAAAGGTCCGTCTAGTCAAGGCTATGGTTTTTCCAGTGGTCATGTATGGATGTGAGAGTTGGACTATAAAGAAAGATGAACACCGAAGAATTCCTGCTTTTGAACTGTGGTATTGGAGAAGACTCTTGAGAGTCCCTTGGACTACAAGGAGATCCAACCAGTCCATCCTAAAGGAGATCAATCTTGGGTGTTCATTGGAAGGACTGATGCTGAAGTTGAAACTCCAGTACTTTGGCCACCTGATGCAAAGAGCTGACTCATTTGAAAAGACCCTGATGCTGGGAAAGACTGAGGGCAGGAGGAGAAGGAGACGACAGAGGATGAGAAGTTTGGATGGCATCACCGACTCAATGGACATGGGCGTGGGTGAACTCCGGGAGTTGGTGATGGACAGGGAGGCCTTGGGTGCTGCGGTTCATGGGGTTTCAAAGAGTCAGACACAACTGAGCAACTGAACTGAACTAGGTTGGGGTCATGGCTTTTCTTCCAAGGAGCAAGCATCTTTTAATTTCATGGCTGAAGTCACCATCTACAGTTATTTTAGAGCACAAGAAAATAAAGTCTCTCACTGTTACCATCGTTTCCCCATCTATTTGCCATGAAGTGATGGGACCAGATGCCATGATCTTAGTTTTTTGAATATTGAGTTTTAAGTCAGCCTTTTCACTCTCCTCTTTCACTTTCATCAGGAGGTGCTTCACTTTCTGCCATAAGAGTGGTGTTATCTGCATATATGAGGTTATTGATACATCTCCTGGCAGTCTTGATTCCAGCTTGTGCTTCTTCCAGTCTGGCATTTCGCATGGTGTATTCTGCATATGTTAAATAAGCAGGGTGACAGTATACAGCCTTGACATATTCCTTTACCAGTTTTGAACCAGGCCATTGTTCCATGTCTAGTTTTAACTGTTGCTTTTTGACCTGCATACAAATTTCTCAAGAGGCAGATCAGGTGGCCTGGTATTCCCATCTCTTGAAGAATTTTCCACATTTTGTTGTGATCCACACAGTCAAAGGCTTAAGAGTTGTCAATGAAGCTGAAGTAGATGTTCCTCTTGAATTCTCTTGCTTTTTCATTGACCCAATAGATGTTGGCAATTTGATCTCTGTTTCTTCTGCCTTTTCTAAATCTGGCTTGAACATCTATTTGGTAGTTCTTGGTTCATGTACTGTTTAAGCCTTGCTTGGAGAATTTTGAGCATTACTTTCCTCATGTGTGAAGTGAGTGCAGTTGTGCAGTAGTTTGAATATTCTTTGGCATTGCCTTTCTTTGGGATTGAAATGAGAACTGACATTTGCCAGTCCTGTGGCCACTGCTGAGTTTTCCAGATTTTGTTTGTGTATTTAACAGCAGCATCTTTTAGGATTTGAAATAGCTCAGCTGGAATTCCATCACCTCCACAAATATGTTACAGTGAGATTATTACAGGAATGTTTAGTATCTTTTCTGAGATTGTGATTCCCTTTACCTTTTTCTTTAACATAGATTATGGCAGTTAACAAGTGGATATTATTTGAAATTAGGTAACTGGATACGAAATTGGTTGGGTTAGGTGCTGATTTTATGACTTGTAGCACATTTTTTTCTCATCTGTAGAATTGGGATATTTCTTAAAAATGAACATAAATAATATAGTCCCAGAATTACATTACAGATTAAAACTTTCTAGCTCTTGTTTTCCCCCTCCTATCTTTCGTTCACTTTGCATCCTGTTTTTTTGCATGTGAATTCTTGAGGATAGCTCAAGGCTTTCTCACTTCCTAAGCGTAAGTTAGAGTCCCTTGTTTCATGCCTTACTAGTTGTAATTACTTCTTTTAGAGTCACTACAGCTTTAAGCTCCTTGATAGCTGTACTCTGTACTGTGGCTTTAGCACCTGCTTAGGCCTTTCTTCTTTTTAATTTCCCATACTAAAATTCACTAATTAAATTTTTAAAAAATTATTTTGAAAATAAGTCACATAGTGGTTTCTTATATAGAATAAAAAGTTGAGCCACACTTAATTCTGTATTTAGAACCCAAAGTTCTTAAGCCAGGTTATTTAAATAACTGTTAGGAATGATTGTGTAAAATCAAGAAATTGAAGGACATTGAAAGTGATTGGGTGAGTTTCCTTAGACTGTTCATTTTCTTTAGCCAGTAGGAAGCTGGAAGTTTATTTCTTTAAAGAGAAAAAAACAAACATCATTTAGGTATCTTACTTTCCTTCCTTCTCACTGTTTAAAACTGTCTTTTGAAATTCAACTAAGTAAAACAGGTCAGGGTTAATCCTTTCATTTGGTTTAATAACTAAGGTGACTATTTGTCCATATCAGTAATTTCTTTATTTTACACTGTGTAAATATTGAAAGTTTGTAAATGATGCTTCTGTTAATGGTCACAAAGTACTTCCAACCTACAGATGTTTAAAGTTTTGCTATATGAGCATATATTACAGGGAGAACCTGCCCAATGTGTTTTATGTTTTTAAGGCAAGCACTACTAAAGATACATCTGATTTGTAAATTCATGCCAGTTTGATGGAAAATTTCTTTGAAAGTTGGTTTTGAATTAGAGGACATAAATACTAAATACTGAGGATGTTGTGTTTTCTTACAGGGAATGGTTCCATTTGTATTTGTTGGCACTAAAGAAAGCATTGGAAATGTGCAAGTGCTTTTAGAGTATCATATTGCTTATCTAAAGGTTTGTACAGTGTTCATATTTATATCATGTTCCTCCACACATTAAATTTTAATTTTATGTTAGTATTTGTAGTAAATTTTTAAATCTTTATTTTTGTTAATTCAGTTTCGTATTTCCCTTTCTGTGTGAAAATATTAAAAGGTCCTTTGCCATAGTAAAATGATTGGCCTCATGTACATTTTTCTCTTTTCCTCTGAACGTTTATATTTCTTTCCTTCTGTTTAAGACATGGCTACTCTTAACGTTGTTGTAGATAGGAGATAGAACCGGGAATGATGTGGGCTTTCTTGGTTACTAATGCTCATCTGTAAACATTCCCTTGAAGGAGATGAGTCCAATGTCTTTTTTATATTGTATACCTGTAGCCCTTAGCAGAGTTGGCACGTGATGGTTACTGGTACTCCCTGGATCACATGAACTACCTCCATATATATCATTTGATAACTCTTAACCATTGTTTTTTACTCTATCTGGGTTAATAAAGAGAAAAGGTTTTGGAAAAGAAATACCCTAAAATTATTATAAGTTGGAATTGTCATTTTCTATTCTCTTTATTCCTGCTGTGTTTTTGTTGTTTATGGTTACTTAGACTGCTGTCTCTAGTTGTGTTTTCCTTTTAGTCACTGAGATCATTGTTTTGTTAATATTTTCAAAGCACCCTTGATTAAGTCATTCCTTTTTTTGAAAAACTTGTCTTTCCAGTACTCTACTGTTTTTTAGCCAAGAGCTTTCTCTAGACACCTTACCTTCACGTCCTGTAATGACTTCAATCTCTGAATGACCAAGTCTACCAGTTCAGCTAGGCCACAACTCAGTTGTCACTATTTTGATAGGAAAGTAGTTTATTAGTAATACCTGTCATAGGTGGTACTTTACCTCATTTAGCAGAGTTTGATACTCCTTGAAGACTAGGTCTGATAATTAGCTATTAAAGTAGGTTATTTCAGCAGTTGTCTGTTAACCATCCCCTAGGTTATTCTAATGATCATCTGTAAACATCCCCCTGAAGGAGAAGAGTCCTTGTCTTTTCTATATTGTATACCTGTAGCACTTAGCATGGTTGGCACATGATGCTAAGGCATTTAGTAAATGCTTGGTGAATTGACCTTGTAAATTATGTTCACTAGGAATGCAGTCTACATTGCCAAATAACTGCCCAAGATCACAGCTGCTTTCAGTGGTAGGACCAGAGTATAGCTCAACTCTAGGCTTTAAAGAAATACGTATAAGATTTATCCTTTCTCATTTTCATTATAGGAAGTAGAACAGCTAAGAATGGAACGACTACAGATTGATGAACAGCTTCGACAGATTGGTATGGGTTTCAGACCTTCTTCCACCAGAGGGCCTGAAAAAGAGAAAGGATATGCCACTGATGAAAGTACCGTCTCTTCTGTACAAGGTTCTAGGTCTTATAGTGGAAGAGGCAGAGGTCGTCGGGGCCCTAATTACACCTCCGGTTATGGTAAAAAAAATTTTTTTCTTTTTGGTAGTAGTTGTAGTTTAGGTGCTTCAATACATTTTGGTTGTTATTGTTCAGTTCATCACTTTATCTTGGTTTTGAGGATAGGAGATAGTTCTGAGGTACATGTTTTAATAGTAGTGACTGTATTTTATATTAATGACTGTACAAGATTTGTAATGTTCAAGTAGCTGTGTAATGAAACACCTTTTTGTTAAATTTGTAGCTCATGACCATTTTTATTCTAAATACTTAAATATATATATACAACTGGTTTTCTCAGATAGTTTCCTTGTACAATCATATACATTTTCCAATAAAATCCTAGTGATAGTGGTGATACTACTAGGGTTTACCTTTTGTTTATCCTTTAGGAAAAAGTAAAAAATACACTAGTCACTGTGCTATATTTACATATAGAAAATCTGTACTAGTTTTTAAAATACACTGTATTGGTTCACTTGGCAGTTTGAATAGTAATATCTCACATCTGCAATTATTTTGTGAAATACAGGATTTCAATAATATGAGGGCTTTAAAAGTTAGAACTTAATTAACATAAATGAACATTTTTCTAAAATACATTTCACTTTGAAGATGGGACTTAACCCATGTAGGAAGGGGCCTGTGGATGGTGGTGGTCAACAATTCTCTAATCCTAAATTTCTTACTTCTTCTTCAGCTTTGGAGTTGTTCCATTTTTCTACATTTGGACTTGGATCTTAGCAGTGACCTGATTTTTCTGTTCCCTTGTCTCTCCTCTTCTCTCTTCTCTACTCCCCTATGCTCATCCAAATTGCTTTGGGAAAATATTTCATAAGCCTTTTCCAGAATAGAAGGCATTTAGGGAAAATAAAAATACATGAAAGCTTATAGTGTACAGATTCCACATCCATATTTCATGTCTGAAGGATCATCTAACGATGTCAGAGTCAGTTTGGTACTATATTTCATTTGTTGTAGAGTTGAATGGTAATTTCCCCTTCCTACTTTTTCATTATTTTAAAGTTAACCCTGTAATGAAACCTGGAAAGAAAAATTCCAGTTAATGTGTTTGGTATGTGAAGGATTGAGAATTGTGGTCCTGGAAACACATTTAATACAAAAGACAGTAATTAAATAGAGATTAAGTACATACTGAATGATTTTAGAGGTACAAATTACTAGTGCAAATAATCAGATTTGGTTTTTTGGTTGATGAACTCATCCAAGAATTTTATAAGCCTCTGAAAAGTCAGCTTATTGATGAGAGGTCCCTCTTTGGCAAAATGCTTTTGTTGACAGTAGATAATAAATTTAAATGAGAAAGTAGAGGAATAACATTTGGATTGAAGAACACTATGCAAATTGTTCAGTAGATGGCACTCTTACTTCTGAGTCTTTTCAAACTAATAACATTATATTTTCTGAAATAGCTGTTGAACTTAAATGGGCTCCAGAGAAATAAAAATTATTTGAATTTGGTTATAGATGTTCTTGTCTACTTAATGGCAGAAGATTTTTTAGGTGAGGAATATATATATAATCTATATAAGGAACATTTTCTGAATTTAACATCTCTGAACTTATAATGTGTTTTACAATGGATGTTGTCTTAGAACTGTAATTGGCAGGATTTTCTTAAGTGGCACAAAAAATATTGTGACTACAATGGATGGCATAGCGGATTTGATGAAATGTGGTACTTTAGCTATTAATGTTAAGTTCAGCATACATGTTCATTTAAAAGAATGTGAACCATCTTCATAAGGTGATTTTAGAAGTTTTAGGGAAATCTGATTTAAAATTCTGTAGAAACAATTTTTATTTGTTGGAGCCATTACAAATGGGATTGGTTTTATGGTTCATTATTTCTTGTAGCCCCCTCCCTAATTTCTGGATTTATGAAATAATATTTTACAAAATTGAGATTGGAATGATTGTGATGACTTCAGCAGAATATTAGTTTTCTGTTGATTATACAGCAAATTAAAAATTCAAAGCCTTTAACAGTACTCTTGCACGGTTCTGTAGGTCAGAAATCTGACGTTAATGTCACTGGGCTGAAATCTAAGTGTTGGCATGTCTGTATTCCCTTTGGTAGGCTCTAGGAAAAAATCTGTTTCCTTGATACTTCCAGCTTCTAGAGACAACCTCTGTTCCTCTGCTTAGGTCCTTCTTCCTCCATCTTAAAAAGCCAGTAATTACAGGTAAATGGGATTTCCTGGTGGCTCAGTGGTGAAGAATTCTCCTGCCAGTGCAGGAGACATGGGTTCAATCCCTTGGTGAGGAAGATCCCCCGGAGAAGGAAATTGGGACCCACTCCAGTGTTCTTGCCTAGGAAATCCCAAGGACAGAGGAGCTTGGTGGGCTACAGTCCATGGGGTCACAAAAGAACCGGACACTTGACTTAACGACTCTACAACAGGTTATAGAGTCCTTATTCAGCCACCTCTCTGGTTCTCCATAGTTGAGAATGGTCCTCTATTTTTTAAATATTCATGTGACTAAATTGGCCTCACCTGAATAGTCTAGAATAATCCCCAAACCTATTTCCTTAACCTTAATTTCGTTTGCAAAGTTCCTTTTGCCATCTCAGAAATGTTTAATATGAAGAAAATGGAGAATTTACCAGTTCATTAGCCCTTTTTTTGTTTTTGACATTAATAGTTGTCTTTATCTCCTGAAGTCTATGATTTTAGATACCTTCTATAAGTATCTTGAATGCTAGATTTAAATTAAAACTATGAAAATTTTTTTGTTCATGATATTGAGTTAAATACTACACTGTATTTTTAAAGATAATTTGATAGGATCTTTTGTTAAAACCTTTTATAATTCCAAAGACTTTATTGTTTTGTTTTAAACTACTCATGAAATGATATATTACCCTTATTCCACCAAACCATGGCATCAGTTAACAAATTCTTTCTTATCCTTTGGAAAAAATAAGTGTTTTGATTCATTTTCTAGTATGAGACTCATCTTAACAAAGATGCAAATGTCAGTACTAGAAACTTGCTACATTTTTCTTAATCCATTCATTACTAGCTACATCTATATGGTATATGGAGAAAAAAAGACAGAAGAGTCCTCTTTAAAGGAGAAAGGAAGTTTGTAGGCTTTGTTCAACTTTACGCTTTATTCCTTGAAGAGCTCTTGTATTTTGCTTTTATCATTAAATGACTATGGAGTTAATATGGGGTATTTTTAGTTTATCTTGAAATCATTCTTATTTGCGAGTTTAGCATAGGAACTTCATAATTATGGTAAATTAATTTATCAGGAGAAAATTGTTATGTGCATTGCTAGGCTTCCTTGGGCACTTAGAGGTACAAGAGAGCTCCCCTTTACTGTGAACCAATATGGAAGTAAAGCCACACTGTAAAAAGAAAACAACACATGGCAATACTTTATTAATTTTACATTAATTTTAAGGAAATGAGGGGAGATGTCTGTTTTCCGTTAAATTGGTCTGAAGCTACAGACATTGAACTGGGCTTTTAATTTTAAGGAGATAGATTTGCACATATAGTTTCCCACATTGTCAGAAAGTAGTTTTCCTGGGAAACCTTTTGTAAGCTGAAATGGCATAAAGTGAAGAAGCAATTACTTTAGGACACATCTTGCTAATAGATGCAGGAAATAAAGCGCAGATGCTCACCAGTACGGTTCAAAGATCTGTTGGCTTGATGCTGAGATGCTGAGTTTAGTTCCTGAGGCGGGAGCGGGGGGTGCTGCTCTCCCTGCTTGCTGTGCTTCTGCCTGTCTTAATTGCAGCGGTTTGCTGCAAAGCGAATACTGAAGGCTATTTTCTCTTCGTGCCCTTTTTAGTGAAAATCCTCTTTAGATTTCTTTTGGTTTGTGAAAACAGATACTAGTGTAAGTCTTTTGTAAAAGCTAAGTTGTGTAAAATGAACTTTTGAAAAGCATAGGATAGCTCTATGATGAAAGGATGAAAAAGTGCCATCCCAGAACTAACAGAGAAGTGGGAATGAGTATGTTAGTGATTGGATCATATAAATCTGACACATAAATAGTGATATGATATGATATGATATAGGGTTTATAGAATCTTTGTGGTGTTTGCATTTTTAAAAAGTATTAAATTCAGTCATTGGGATGTTTGAAATAGTCTGTAGTTAACTTTCAAAGTTATGCTGAATTTTTGTCTCATTGGTAATGGCTTCATCTCTTATTGTCAGGTTGAAGTTACCCTTTTCCAGAGCAACCTAAAATTTCTTCAGATATTTGAAACATTGTATTGTTCTAACTTAAGGCACTATTGTGCAAAAGATAAATTTTACGTACAGCCACTAAAACTGCACTCCCAGTTTACGAGACAATCAATTGTAAGAAATAGCCTGATTTCAGAGATGTTAAATGTGGGGGGGGAAAGTGCTCTTTAAAATCAAGTGATATAATAGAATACAGTATACAGTTGTTACTCATTTTTATAAATATCATTAAATTGGCTTTTAAATACTTGGATAGCGGTTATTTTTTATTATACTAGCAATTTGTTAAAGACATAAAAGTGGGCAAAATTTTTAAAAAATATTTTCCATATTAAATGCATTTTCATATATTAATGTTATTTAAACAATGATTTGCAAGAAATTCTTTGAAAAATTTCATTCCTTTCTTAAAATAGAAATATAGTAGGCTTATGTTCTCTTCTTTCCCAAGGTACAAACTCTGAGCTGTCTAACCCATCTGAAACTGAATCTGAGCGTAAAGACGAGCTGAGTGATTGGTCACTGGCGGGAGAAGATGACCGAGAGAGTCGCCATCAGCGTGACAGCAGGAGACGCCCAGGAGGAAGAGGCAGAAGCGTTTCAGGGGGTCGAGGTCGTGGTGGACCACGTGGTGGCAAATCTTCCATCAGTTCTGGTAGTCTTTTATATACTCTGTCAGAATCTTTTCTTTGTAAACAGTATAATTTCATAACAGTTAATCCATTTCCCAGGACCCCCGCTCCCCGTTTTTGGAAGTTTCTCTTTTTGCTTAACTGTCTCAGGAAAACAGTAGAATATATACATATATATATATATGCGTGCACACACACACAACATCATAAGGAAAAGCACTATAGAGTGTCTCTCAGTGAAAGTTTAGCCAGAATATTCGGGTCAGAGTAATTTTAGTTGGAGCTGACTTCTCTGCTTCATTGGTCAGATGTTTGGACTTTGGACGCTTAGGTAATTAGAATTTTTTTTCCCCTCTAGAATTTCTTGGGTTATATATTTCTGTTTGCCAGAGAGACCCAGATAATTCTAATGTATAGAGAGATCTGCTGCTAAGTCACTTCAGTCATGTCCGACTCTGTGCGACCGCATAGACATCAGCCCACCAGGCTCCCCCGTCTCTGGGATTCTCCAGACAAGAACACTGGAGTGGGTTGCCATTTCCTTCTCCAATGAGTGAAAGTGAAGTCGCTTAGTTGTGTCCGACTCTTAGCGAACCCATGGACTGCAGCCTACCAGGCTCCTCCATCCCCGGGATTTTCCAGGCAAGAGTACTGGAGTGGGGTGCCATTGCCTTCTCCATAGAGAGATCTAAATACCTTTGTATACAACTGAAAAGCATTTATTGCTACTCCACCACTTTGGAACAGGGAAAAACTGTGAAATCACCTTCTTTAAAAATCTTTTATTGTTTGAGGAATTCACCTGTAAAGAGGAGTGTCTAGAAGACTGAGATTTGAGATATAAAAAACCTTTTACTCATTGTCTTTTTGAAAATTTAAATGCTCTAACTTAAGTGGTGGTGTAGGACTTGACAGAATGTTCTTGCTTAGCATAATGGGCTGGGGAAAGATTGTCAGGGATTAGATTATATCAGGGATATAACCATAACAATTATTGTATGGCATTTGTAGGAAAACCACTCTTAATTTTTTTAAAAAAGTGAATCAAATCACATTTTTCAAAGAATTTTTAAAAAAGTACTCTCTAGTTCTAGTGATAATCTTCAAGTTCTAAGTTCATTTTATAGACTTTGAGGGAAATAGTTTTTATACTTTAGAACATTGCTCACTGTTACCAAGGTTTAACATTACAATTTGCTGAATTTCAAAGTAAATGTACTTTACCTAGTGTTTATGATTAATGGATAAACTTAGTGTCTTTTGCAAAGATGCTAGCTTGCTAGCTGTTACCAAAGGAAACTTAGGAAAAATCGTGATTAGGTGAATTTCTTCTATAATTTGATTGCTGGAAGCAATAATGCACATAGGTAAGATGGGTATTTTTTTTCCCCTATAAATTATGTCTTACAAACCTTTCCTTTCCCACTCTTACCCTACCATATCCCACCTATACTCTTTCTTTCTGGAGATGGGAGTACTAGTCAGCATTCATTCCCACATTTTCCTATAACTAGTTAGAATTTCAAACTTTTTAGTTTGCCTTTTTTTGTGTAGACTTCTTTTGCTTGCTTCAGTTTGTAATAATAGATTTCTGTTCTGTCATAGAGTGCAGGTGTTGAGTATTATTTGAAAATATATTAGCTGAATATTTGTTTTCACTTTTATTTCTTTAGCCTCTGTACAGAATTAGCTAGGAATGTGAATGTAAAAAGTAATATGTAATAGTATACTAGTTCCTAATGTTTTTAAGACAAGTCCAAGAGAAATGGTAGAAAGCCAAGGTGTTCACTCATCTTGTTTTAATTTTTCATCATCATTTAAAGTTTTTCCATATTATTTTTCAGGTAAAATAGTGATACAGAAAACATTTTGTCTGAAGACAGAGGATGTATTTTTATTGGGGGAAAATTGAAGTTTATTATTATTTGATATAGTTCAATATAGGTCAAAACATTTCTAATAACTGCAGCTCTCTTAAACAAATATTTCTTGCCTCTGACATGCATTTAGTGCTCAAAGATCCAGACAGCAATCCATACAGCTTACTTGATAATACAGAATCAGATCAGACTGCAGACACTGATGCCAGCGAATCTCATCACAGTACTAACCGTCGTAGGCGGTCTCGTAGACGAAGGACTGATGAAGATGCTGTTCTGATGGATGGGATGACTGAATCCGATACAGCTTCAGTTAATGAAAATGGGCTAGGTATGTAAGCATTTAGGGAAAAGATATATATTAGTGTATACTATTGTTAATATATGATGCCTTTAAAAAAAATCAAACATATGCAATTCACAAATTGAATTTTTCCTAGTGTTCAAGTAGGTAGATGGCTTTGTGTCTGTCTTAAATGTCTATAGTTTTCAGATTTGTATAGCCAGACTGTTTGAAACTGGGAGGGTTTATTAAAGTGCCCTTTAATGCCATTAAAACAATACAGATATTCAAACTGCGGGGCACTTAATACTCTCAATCTTCTAAGCCAAAATTGGGCTTTCATCTTGCCTCTTTAAGTATTATTGTAAATGACACTAATGAAGTATGTATACTTTGCAGGCATTGATTTCCAAAGCACTAAAATGTCATTAACTTTGGTAAAAACTAAACTCTGTTGGAGAGGAAAATTTTATTCCTGAATGATAAATTAAGTCTTAGAGTTTGTTTAATCAAGAGTTAAAAACCCTCTTAATTTCTGGATGATAATTCCATCTGTTAATCTAGTAGGAATGTTTAAAACTACAAAAGTATTTTTCCTGTGAATAGCATGTATTGTTTTATCTTTCCTGTTTAATTAAAAGCTTCTTTCCCCTTAAATCTTTGAAGGCAAGAAGTTTTTTTTTCTTTTTGCTTTGTTTTTTGCATTGTTTTTGTCAGAATAGTTTCATGGTGAACTTTGCAATTACAGATGATAGTGAAAAAAAACCCCAGCGACGCAATCGTAGCCGCAGGCGTCGTTTCAGGGGTCAGGCAGAAGATAGACAGCCAGGTAACTTGAGTGGACCTGTTGACAACACCAGGTCATACGCATGAAAAAAAAATGTCATGTGTCTGCTTTCTAAATATATTATACTTATATGTACACATGTGTGTATATACATTCAAGATGTGCATTGCATAAATTGTTTTCTCAACTAATAAGACTACTATTAAGAAAATGCATTCTTCCTTCACACCGTAATGTAACCTGTCTAATTGAACTAATGTTGTGTCTCAATTTTTTTACATGAAAATACTGTTGAAAAGACCATTATTTTGTCCACTTGGCAGATACTGCACACTTGAGTTGGGACCTGCTATCCCAGGGACTGTGTTGTAGCTTGTGATTTTGGATGATTGGCAAAACTGGACAGCTTTTGCATGGTGCCTGCTACTATATCTGGATTCAGCACCTCATTTTTGTGGGGGTTCTACTACCCACAGTTTAAAAAATATAAATGAGAAAAATACTTGAAAGTGTCTTTTTCCTAATAAGAGGAATGCATGTTATGTTTTTGTTCATTGTAGTGTGATGCCTTTTCCCTTACACTTACTAACTATTCAAATTAATAGTACTTACTTAGTTTTAGAATGTTAATTTAAGTAGATAAAATTTTTAGTAACTTAAAAGAAACTTGTTTGCCGTGTCTATACTATCTTGAACATAATTCCATTTCTTGTGTACAGAGAATCACATGTATATTCACAGTGGAGAAATTGTGTGCACCAGAAATAAATCCCTTTTGTTAAACTAATCAATTTTGCATTCTTTCCAAAGCAAATTCTTGTGTTTTTCCCCAAATAAAGAATATAAATTCTAGTATCTTTACTTAGTATTTTAAATTTAGTGGTTGTCGAGACATGTGAGAAAACTGATTAAGGGGATTAATTCCCATTCTTAGGGGAAAAAAAAGTTCCTGTTTAAATTTAGTTGTAACTTTAAAAGAAATTAAATACTGTCACAATAGGTTTTAAGGAAATGTTTCTTATTTTTTTATCTTCTTTTCTCTCTCTTTAGTGTTAGAAATATCTTTGGGATGAAGAGATTATATTTAGTTTGTGGTTTTGAAGCTGGCATAGCAGTGAATACCAGTTTCTGGCCATACTTTATAAATAAGGAAATTTAAGTTACTAGTATGGGCTTGAGATAGGATAAATTAAAACATAATTTAGTAACTAGGTGGATGGTGGTTCATTACTAAGTCAAAGGACATAAAGGGAATAACATAAAAGGCTTTGATAAAGAAGAGGAAGAGATTTCTGCATGGTATTAATCAAAACTTGAGTAATTGGAGTTCTAAATAATTTGACAATGATTTGTGTTCTCTACTGCATTTATTCCTGTTTTTACTCTCTTTGGAAGTACTGATTTCCTCTTTAGAACTCATAGCCTTTCTCAGCCTGCCCCCAACACACACACACACACACACCCACACCCACCTACCCACCCACTCACCCAGAAGATAGGATAGGATAGGTGAAACAATCACATCATTTTCTCCTTTGGCTCTGGCAGCAGTTCTAGGAAGGAAGCGTCTATCTAAAAGTTAATGTCAGCATTCTCTGAAATAAACAGTTATTTAATTTGTTCATATTTGCTTAAAATTTCTTGTTGCCTTTAGTATTATTTAAGCAGTGAGTATTTACTATACTTAGCAAAGTGCAGCAGTGTACTGGTGTACAATTAATAAATTTTGGATCCCTTAGAGGAAATTCTGGAGTCCAAATTACGCCACACAAATTGCCTCAGTTTTTTTCCTAGATATTATAAGTGCTTCTCTGTTTTGAACTTTTAAGTGGCTTGCATTATGAGGACTAAAAACAGACTATTATCTGGCTATAGACAGGTTTTTCTCTGGATTAACTGATTTTAATTTTACCTCTGTTTGGTGGAGGATGGGCACTGGTTTTTACCTTTCCAGCTACGTGCCTGTTAATTGATAAACTGTATCAAAGTTCTATGTCTGCATAGTGGGCGAATGGTTCTAAGAATTACCCTTAAGTTCAGATTTAGTAGTATGTGTGCCTGTGCATCAAGGTTTCCAGGTAGCTGAGTTCTTCCTGGTGTAACTGAAGGCTGAACCATGGAAACAGAATGAATTCATCATGGTGCTCTCTAAACTACAATACTTGATAGGATGCTTGTGGTTCCATATATGTAGACATAATAAAGAAGTGGGTTTGATCCCTCTCCCCAGTTTTGGAAACTATTCAATTTATTTATAGATTCATTTACAGTGATTTTAAATGATTTTTAAAGCTCCAAAATGAGCATATTGAGTTTCTCATAGAGGGAAATGGTCTAAGACATGAAACATCTTTTAGTGGTGTTTCTAAAGATGTTTATTAGTTGTGAATTAAGTTGTTTCCTTGAGATTTAAAAAGATTCATATAATGATTCTATAAATTATTGAATCTTATAAAGATGTTAGCATTTTAATTCACAATTAAGAGAAATGAACTGTAAATACAGTCCAGTCTTATATTAAAATGATTTTATGTAATTTGAACCTGATAGATTAGTTCTCCCATGTATGTAGTGACTTATATTAAGTTTATCGAAGTTTTAATTGTTACATAATTTACTTGCTCCCATAATTTATACCATATTTTACATAATCAGGGATTTTTCTTCATCAGTTTCTGAGAGAAAATAAATTCTTTGAAAGGAAGAGACTTACTATTTTGATATTTCTTCAAATCAGTGAATTCTAAGTTGCAAGTCCTTGAAGAGAGAGCTCTGAGGTTTACAATGAGGCCAGTCCCAGCAGACCAGAGGTAGTTTGTTGCCATTGGGTTGCTGGCAGGGTGTTAGTTTTGGTTAGTCTTTTCCCTTCTTTTCCCCAATCCCCACCACCATTGCAAATAGCTCAGTCCCTTGAGAGATTGGCAAAACATGAAAAGGGGATAGTTACTGAATTAATGGTGGACATTTTCCACCATGATCATTGTCCACATTTTAAGATGGTGGACAGATCTTTAGTTTGCTTGAATTTTTTCATATTACTCAGAACAGTTTCTAGTGTGAAATATTAAAAAGGAACCATAAAACACACTTGGAAATCTTACTGTGCTTAAAAACAAAAACAGAACTATTAAATAATACCTGAGTAATAAAGTTTTTATATGTTTGATGAAAATTTCATATTGACGTGTGCTACACCATGATCTGCACCCAATTTACCCATCCCCCCCCCCCCCAACTGATAAGTGCAAACACTATCTGGGCTTAGAATGTGGCATTTCCTATTCTTAGTTGTGGGTTTTTATATCAAACTTATCCCACAGCTGTAGACTAACCGGAAGCAAATGGCTGGATTCTTTTGAAAGAGGACTTTAATCTAGGCGTCCTCTGTGTCCAGCTTGAAATATTCTACAGTCAGCACCAAACCACAGGCATATTTTTCAAACTTCATTTTTGGTTGGAGGTGGTACCCATCTTAAGAAAATTTTGAAATTGGGTAACCCACCATTAGTCTATTTTAAAAGTAAAATTACTCTTTATCCATAAATAAACTTTAGAAATATTTTTTCAACACCTGTAATTTTTTTCTCATCTTCAACAGTCACAGTTGCAGATTATATTTCTAGAGCTGAGTCTCAGAGCAGACAAAGAAACCTCCCAAGGGAAACTTTGGCTAAAAACAAGAAAGAAATGGTAAGGAGAATTTAACCTGTAGGTTTTGGCTTTTTTGGTTTTGTTTTTGTTATGGTTTAGTTTTATTTTTACTTCTTAACTTGTATGATCACTTGTTGCCCCAACTAGACCAGTAATATTTTAGTTAAAGACTACTCTTGATTGTGTTTTTGGCCCCAGGTAACAAGGTATGCATGCTTGAGCCTGAAATACTTTTCAATTAGAATTAGAAATAGCATTGTAAAAGATACTGGGCATAAAGACTGTTAACCTTAATTTGGGGAGCAATAGGCTGAATAGACCCTCTTCTTAGTGGTGGATAAAGACCTTTGTTTCAATTTTTTGAAATATTTTAAGGGATTTGATATGTAAATTTGAGTTTGCAAAAAAGGTGAGTAAATAGGTGGTGGTTTGCCTTACTCAGGGTATTAACTGTTTATGTCTTTTTATATGGTGAGTTTTTCAGTGGTTAAAATGAAATTAGGTGCAAGTTTTCAATAAACAGGTACAGATTCTTCCTGTGGCTTATGTATTGCTAGCTACTAGAGATAAAGGGTTGAAAGACCCAGAGAGATGGAATACATTGGGGTTTTTGTTTTTGCTTTTTTTTCCTTTTTTAATTTTAAGAATGTTTTAATTCAGATCATTGTGGTATGTGAAACTAAAATTATTTATTAGCTAATTAATGTTTATGTAGTTATTTTCCTCCTCAGTTATAGATTTTATTTATAAAGAAGTTGAAAAAGTTGTCTCCCTTTGGCAGGCAAAAGATGTGATTGAAGAGCATGGTCCTTCAGAAAAGGCAATAAATGGCCCAACTAGTGCTTCTGGCGATGAAATTTCTAAGCTACAGCGTACTCCAGGAGAAGAAAAGATTAATACCTTAAAAGAAGAAAATACTCAAGATGCAGCAGTCCTGAATGGTGTTTCATAAACTGAAGAAGTTCCTAGTTTACAGTTCTTTTACATTACATTTTACAATAGTGCTTGTACAAGCTTGCCAAAGATAGAATATGGATCGCCAGTCTTTCCATCGCACTTTCAGTTCCTCCATTTGGAATTCAGAAAGGGGAGGGATCCTGAAGAAATCATATGTTAAACATACTTTGACACCTACTGTGTTATATATCATCAGATGTGCCTTGAGAATAGTATATGTAACATTAAAAAAAGTTGCTGGCTATAGGAAATGTTATTTTGTTTTCAAAATATGGCAGAGATGGGGGGAGGTGGGTGGGGTGGGATCCCTAACCTAATATTCTTTATGAAAGCATTAGCTGCTTTTGTTACATTTTTAATAATATGCAACCACTTCTTCACCTGAGGAAAACTAGAATGAAATGCAGTCTAAGATATTTTGCACTGAATTGTAATTTCTTCATTAGTTTTAGTCTGGAAACTGGTCTGTTTTAATGTGTTTTAAAAATGCTGTATTGTAGAGGAAAATCTGCAGACCACTGGAATACATTTGTTAAACACTCATCTGCAGGGACACTGGGTGTTATTGGCAGTGACTGTTCTACATTGAGGCTTTGTTTGGTTTATTTATTAAAGTGTACAGTATTTAAAAAATCAAACATAGCTTTAGTTAAAACACTAAACTGAATTAGTCATGTCCATTCAGACATAACCTGAACTACTGAAAGGATCAATTTCCAGAAGGTTTATTCTGTATAAACTACATGTTAGTCTTCAGTAGAGTATCTTTTCTTTTTTCTCCCTTTTTTCTTTTTTTTTTTCCTTTTTTTTTTGGTTTTGATTGTTTGATGTGCAATATGTTTTTGTATGCAGGTAGTAAATAAACTTTTGATCTTCCATTTGCTGATTTTTAACTTTCTACTTTTTAAACTGTTGAAAAGTAGTTGGACCTACCTAAAGGCCTAGAGTAGTATTCTGATTGCTTTTTAAGATGCATTTAAACTTGTTCATAAATAGTATTAAAATATTAGTTGGTCATTTTGTAATGAATCCTCTGAAGTCTTAGTACTTAAAAATTTAGTATGTTAGAATGGTTTAGGGAATTGGTCTCAGAGATTTGATATTAGGAAAGTCTTTGTAACAAAATTCTAGTCATAGGCAACTTTTAGAAGGCAGTGAGGTAAAATCCAGAATTTTACTTTTGCCTTTGATTCTTCATTATTTTTATAAAGTATAATGAACAGTTTTTAAATAAGAAATGTCACTGATTTTTGGTTTTCAAGGTAACAGTTTTAAAGGTTCTTGTATTAATGATTGTTTTGTAAATATTTTGTCCAGATGGCTTAATGTTAGGAATGTACAAACTTTTACACAAAGTAAAAGTTCACAAGTTGATAATAATTGTGGATTTGTGGGAGGGTTTTGCTCCACAATATTATATAAAGACTACTGAGCAAGAAGAGGGAGCCCTTTTGTTCACTTGGGATCTGAGAAGTATTTTTATGTGCATAACTTGTGTTAATTTGTTATGTGCATTAAAAAAACAAGTGATTATACAACTGAAGGATAATTCAGGGTGTAGCTAAAAATATTTGTCAGGTCAGTGTATATAAACCTTAGCCCTCAGATTTATTACTGGTGAGGTTAAGCTGTGATAATATCAAATGCTTTTTCCTAAAACCCTGATAATGGAAAATTTTAAAGGTGTAGTGTGAACAGTGCAGTCTTTGGACTTTAAAAACAAGTAACATTTTTGGCTTTTTTAATCCTTCTCTTCAATAGTAGAATTATAAATTAGGGTATGGGAATTTTCAGTAATCTCCAAATTGGTAAATATGGCAAAAAGAAAGTGATTTTTCATTTTCTTCCAGGTAGTAGAATATATTCATGAAAATCCTCCTTGTTCTGTAAAGACTGGTTCAATGAGAAAGGAAGAAACACAAAATCATCTTAAAAGTGGAGTTAACCCAAGGAATTTTTTAGAACTTGACAACCATATTCTAGGATATAAATATTAAGATTTCATTTTTTACAAATGACTAATCCCAATATCCTTTAAAAATACATACTATAGCATCATGATAGGCTCTTTTTTAAAAATATCACATGCTCAGATTTAGAAGTGAAAAAGCCCAGTCCCCAAAGGTAACTCTTCTTTATAGAGGTAGCCTTCCAAACTTTGAGAGAGGTGCATCTTTTTTGGCTATTAGTTACATGAAATGTTGCTATGGAAGAATTTGCCAGCCACTGTGACCCCCCTCCCATCCCCCCACCAATTCTAAAGTTTCTCTGCGGGTTAAATACTGTTTTAGCATATATATATATAAAATTATATATGATATCTGAACTAAATTACAAACTAAGAGGTGGGATTACATGGGTGTAAAAACGATCATTTCCTGAAACTTGAGATCCCTTAGTCCTCTCGTTGACAGGTCAGTCATTGTTGGTAAAATTATAGTAGGGATACATAAAAGTCTTAAGTAGTTACTGTATTTTGATGTGAAGGTGAGAGAAAGAATATCAAAGTAGTGAGTTCAAACCACTGAGACACTGCTTAGGACCAGGCTGAGGAAGATTGCTTAAGTAAATAGTCTTTAAAAAGCAAGTATAGATATATACAGGTAAGCAAAATAATTAAACAGGAAAACACTAAGCTGGTGTTTTACTCTCTTTTTCTGGTCAGCCATTCTTTTGTGGCTAGGATCCATCACCTTGGAAGTATTTTTGTAGCTACTGTTTGCTGTAAGTTTGGTGTTTAACCTGAGAATGGTCTGCAAAGTTGGTATGTTATTAACATTGCTGTAAACAGATTGACTTTTGAGGTTGAAACCAACTAGTCAGTATTATAGGCTGTGCCTACAGTGAGCTTAGTTTACTAAAGACAGGTGGATGGAATACTAGTTATATAATGCAGTTAAGTCCTGTCAGATGATTGGTCATTATTGGAAACGAGTAAAGGAAAATTACTTACGTTTTCTAAGTTTCCAGGAACTTTGATTTGAACTAGATCTATGGGTTTAGCAATATTCAGAAGGTAGCAAGTAGAGTGTTCATTGTAAAGTCTCATTCAGTCTTCCTATCTTTGCTGTTTACCGTTTGGATACCTTGTACCCTTTATAGGGATATCTGATATAGTGAATTTGCTGACCCCTTAGTTTTAAGTTTTAGTTTCTTATTACGGATGCTTGAATGTGTAATAGTCACTTATAACCCATGATTAACCTATGGTAGCATTTGGGTTTAATTTCAGAGGACTCTTGGAATAAAGCAATAACTGCGTTCTGCTATAGTAAAACTTTTTGCAAGTGGTGGTAATTTGACACTGTATTCAGCTGCTGGTTGAAAATGTCAGTTATGCTGAAACATAGGAAATTGCCAAGAGCTGACCACTTCTGACCCACAAAAGCGACAATTTCTTATGGTTCAACCTAATAATAATATGTTTTAAGGTATAATCATTTACTCTGGACATCCAAGCAGTGAATCCTTTCTAACTATCCAGAAAACCCCTAATTACTGGATGAGGGAGGTGCATACTCTATAAGGGAGATAAAATTTTGTAAAAACATGGTTTGTCAGTGGACCACTTTAGATTCAGATTCATCTGTATCTTCTATATTAATGTTTCAGGTACTGAAGTACAGAATTGGGAGTCACTATCTTAGTTGTACTACCCTTTTCTATATTGTTTTATCCAACTAGATCCTATAAGGGCCTTTCTAATATAACTTGGTTCTAGTCATATGTTAGATACCGTGTGACACTTAACCATAGTCCTATGTACTCTAAAAGAGTATGCTGAATTAAAATGTGTTTGTTTTATATATGTATCTATCCCAGGCATTTCCAGCTATGTTGTATGCAATATAAAAATAAAGGGCAAAATTATTTTTTACTAATATTCTTAATGTCAAAGCTCCACTATTAAGTATACTAGTTAGCAGTTTCTCAAGTTTGTGTTTTAATGAGTGGTATTTTGCGCGGGGGGGGGGGGGGGGGCGAAGAGTGAAATTACAGGGGTATTTTCTGGATGTTTTTGTATTTTGTACCTTATTTTACTTGGATTGTCAAATGTAGCTACTCATTTTCTAGGTTAGAGACAATTTTCGTTATAAAAATTATCCCATAGTTTTTCTAGATGAACTAATTTATGCTTCATTGTTGTCTGGAGCTCTTAACTGCAACCTCTTTGAGCTTCATTTTTCACCTTGCTGTTTTCAGGCTGTAAAGAAAGTCACGTAAAGACTTCACTTGAAATTCCATTAACTAAAATACCACTAAGGCCACAGCAAGTGTTAACTTGTTCAAGATTATATCTTAACACTGGACTATGTGACCTTGTCATCAGGTCGGGAATAATAGGTTAACAGTGGAGAGCAGCTCTTCCTATATCCTGTTGCTAAGGCAACAGCTGACTCCAAGCAGATACACAGCACTGAACAACAGTGCCAACAACAAATAGCAGAGCTTAAGGTTATTTAAGTTTTCCGGTACTGAAGGTTCTCTCAGTTCAGGATTCTTTAACGAAAAACATATTCTAGTATTTTAATTTTAACCTCAGATGTTTAGTTTTTTTTTTCCTTCTATCATGTTCTGTCCTTTGACGTTTTGGAGCCAATTGCTTAATTTTCTTTGGAATTAACATGTTTGGGGGGAATCATTTATGCTGAGTAAACTGCAAGACACACTTCTGAAGTGCAAAAATGTTAACAGGTCATTATCAATAGAAAGATGCCTTATAAATTCTCATTGAAACAGTAAAACTCAGTATTTTAGCCTAAAGTGTTTAAGCTTGTTTGATTATCTCTTAAATGAAGACACTGCCTGGATTAATTTAAACGGCTTCTGATACAAGGTCGTCTTTAGGGCAGAGGACGTGCAATTTCTAGTGGCTGACTCTTACACAGCTGTTTAGTGTGTAACAGGCCAACGTGTTTAGGTTTTCACCCTTGTGTTAAGACGGTAGTTATCCAGTTTCTTCCACTTCTCATGTTACATCTAGCTGCCTTTTACCCTTGTAATTTAGAGCAAAAGAAATTAAGAACTGCAGAGAAAACTGTAAAACCAAGCTTATCACAATATATAGATACGGACTTGTGTTCCATCTATTTTCCTACAGGTTCTCAATTATTTCTTGAATGTTTTGGTCTGCATGACTTGTATTAAATGCTTCCATGGGTATTCCCATCATTTGTAAAATACTTGAAAGCAAGAGAATTTGCTTAAAACTCTCATGGGTTGGAATAGATTTAACTTCAGGACTGCCCATTATAGCCTACTTTCATAACCAGCAAAGCAGGTTTATAAAGCTTATGAAGCAGTTAGGACTCATCTTGATGATGACAACCTAGAGGCCCAGTGAAGACAAAGGGAAAGGGGGTCAGTAGGAAAACAACCTCTGGTATGCTAGTTCTAAATATGATGGCTGTAAATAGGCATCTTTTAAGGACTAATACATAGAGAACCAAATTATAAGTGAACATAGTAAATTGTAGAACATATTCTGGGCTTATAGTTTCACTAGCTGTGCAACTCAGCATAGTTTCTCATTTTCCCATCCAAAGAATGTGGAGAAATCACAATTTTTCATCCTCTCCTCCCCCCAACAGATAAGGAAGCAGAGCTCTTAGCATATAGATTCTGTTGCTCAAAGTTGCCTGGCTATTGAAACCTGTATCTCCTATTCCCTAGTCCTATCTTCAACCGTAACCTTCCTCTCTTTTAAAAGTGTCTACATCTGAAAGGAGAAACCGATAAAAAGCCCCAAGGTGTAAGTGTAATGACAAGTGCCAGACTTGTATCTCAGTACCACCAAGGAAGACATCCCTGAATTATATTTTTGAAAGGTACCATAGTGTAGAGGTTAACAGCATAGATCTTTGGGTTTGCAAAAGATCA